CTGTCTCTATGTGTAAAACAGACAGTCAAAAAAGCATCCTGGAAACTTTAGAGCCCTGAAAACAAGGGGACGCGAGGAAGTCCAATAAGCTCGTATGTGGAGGACTCAGTCGGGAGATAATCTCGAGGCCTCACAGACCAGGCGCCAAGCCCATAGAGCCTAAAAGCTCCGCGGCGCAGAAGAGCAGCGTGGTCATTGTTGTCTTTGGAAAGTAAGCAGCTCCAGTGAGGCCAGTGGTGTGAAAGCCACCTCTCTTCTTGAGTGTCCGCTCCAGACCCCGTTGTTGACATACCGGGCAGGTGCAGCTGCTCTCTAGAAACTGCATCGAGCTGAACCCCCCACCCCACCTCAGCACACATACTCGCACAGCTTGGATGTCACAAGACAGGGTTATGTGGACAAAGACAAATCTACCATTTTCTTTAATATCTCTGCAACAATCAGCGAGGCACTGCTGAGTTAACACAGGGCCCACAGAAACGAAAACAATGGCTGGATTCTTCTGGCTTGAAGATGGCTATGGGAAATGGCGGGGATGCCAGGGCTGATAAGTGACCGAGGGGCTCAAGTTACTTCCAGCTGTCTGCAGCCGTGCATGCCTCTGTGGGACCTATGGTTCAAGCATAATGCAAACCATTTCATTTGTGTGACGCTCGTAAAATATATGTATATATATATATATATATGGCGGACGTATTAAATAAAGTCAACACTCTTTCACTTGGGCAGGGTTTTATATCGCAGGAAAGGATCTCCGATCCTCCGAGGAGCGCTGCAATGCGCCCTCAGCTGAGAAAACACAGACAGTTGAAGACTGTGACCTTGTGAACGATAATGTTAACTGGATCAATAAAACCAGGTGATACAAGAAGGTCTGGAAGCAGCATGGGGATAGAGTGTGACTGGGGCTTTGTGGACAATGATGTCCATGCACGGTAAAAATGTGTACCTGCTGGTATTGTGGACCGTCCTTTATTTACCAAATAAAGAGTGCATTTGTCCTTTAAATTATGTTAAAAATAGGAAATAAAGTGAATATGAAATAAACCACTTAAAAAGATTAATAGGACTTTTATTGACTGTATATTTGTTCTGTAAAAAGACTTACATGGAAAAAAATAGCGTCACAATGCATTAGCATCACCACAATACCAGTGAGGGCCTATTCCTGTCCATTTGGAAAATATAAGTACATTTTGAAGCTGCCGCACACTTCAGAAGGAAAGTGCTCTTTGCAGGCTTTGAAGTTCTCCGACATAATGCTCCTTAAAAGCATCCACTGCAATACAGAAAAACATGAACATGTATTTCAGTCGAGGGCCGTGAGCGACCTCTTCCCAGCAACCATGTAAATCTGAGCTGGAGGACTGCAGGACATCTTTTTAGTCTCATAGGAACCGCACATATTTGTGATAATTCCAATTGTGTCTCACTAAATGAAACGCTGCTACAAAAACTGTCAAAACCTATTTCATCATGAAGCTTCCTTTGAGTATTTTTTTCTGAACAACCAAACACTTCCTGGACCCTTCAGGAAACGGATCATTCAAACGCAACAAAACGCGAGGGGGAAGGAGAAAGGCAAGGAATAAAAGTTTGAAACAAAGTCTTTTATTTTCTCTTCTCTCAGTTTAGTGTTTAGTTACGCCCTTATGGCAGTAAAAACTGTCATCTAATCATATCCTTACACAGCCTTAAGTGCCATATACGCCCATACCAGCATGGAAAGCAGAGCTTTCTGTGGATTAAAACGGATATGAGGTTATTTTTGTGCGATCCATGATTGCATGAGGCACTCCCATTCAGACTTAGTGTGATGACTGAAGGGGTGAGCTAATATGGCACAGTGGCGCTGCGAAAGAGTGTAAATCCATCCGCAGTGGATCCTGCCCTTTGAATATAAAGTAAAATGTTTGGTTCTTGTTCCTTTAAATCTGTCGATGTTTAAAAAATGTATGGATCAAATAGATAATTCAACATCATTGGCAAACTGAATGATTTGAAACACTTGAATCCGTCGAAGCGTCTTACATGAATGGCAGCACATAATGAGGCCAAATCTATAGTGATAGTTCCACATTGTTTCCAAGGTTTTTTGCTCCATATCCTGAATTCAAGCTGCTCATGACATTAAAATGAAAATAAGTTGGATTAAAGAAAGAATTTGATTTGCGTATGTTTCAAAGACAATAAAGTGAGACCTAAATCTCCTGCAGTAAGATAGATAGAAGCAGCAGTAGCACATTGTGTGATCCGACATGTCCTTCTCACATTTTAACTGGTATTATTAGAGAGCTTGACAGGGCTGGTTTGGCCCTGGCAAGACACGTTGGACACACTGCAGAAAGATCAGAGAGAAGACAAGGGAAATGCTTTAACGCCTCTGGAACACCGAGGAGGAGATGGGAATTACTGCTGAATTAAGCACCACTTTGATTGGATACTGATTGACCGATGGTTGGCAAAACATGAAAGAATGACCTTGAATTCTCCAAAGCGAGTATGGATTGGCACACAGCATCTCTCCCTCTCTTCTCCCTCTTCCACTCTTTCAAACACACAAGCGTGCACACACACACACACACACCCCCCGGGCACACTCCGACAGGAACACACACGCCACATGCAACACATACATGGGTGTCCACACACACACACACATACACACATACACAAGAGTGTTCCCTCTCTGCTTTTTCGGGGGGGAAATTAGCACACTGTCACGTACGACGAGCCAGAGTCGAGAGAGCAACTTCAAAGTACGGCAGATGCAGGGACAGCGCCCGCTGAATACATTTTCTGGCCACCAGTCGATCTGCCCTCGGGCTAAGAATGTGGCGGTTCGCATCTCTCCTGACCCCTCATCAACTTACAGTTAAAACCAATCCCACTCCAAGTGTGCGGACGTGGAGGGAAGGGAGATGGGAGCCTTTTTTTTTTATACTAATGTTGCCGGTAGAAGGAAATGAACTCTTATCTTATACGCTCAATTGTCAGATTTTCACAGCGAGCAAAAGTAGAGCAGCTTTGATGAATTAATCAGAGTAAGTGGGGAGCTTCGTACCGACACAGAACACCTGGAATTGTGATTCAGTAAATATACATATGTAATCATTACGTTGTTTCCAAAGCAAAGCTGAATGCGATCAAAAACATTGTTTTGTTTTTGTGCCTGCGGCCATTTTGTAACAATAGGCTTCCCTTTATTTCTGAATTGGTGCCTTTCTCACTTTAGATTAAACCATTTCAGATACACTCAATCTCTTTTTTTTTCACATTTATCACAAAAGTGTTATATCTCACTGTGCTGTTACAGCTTACTGTGAACAACAGTGTACTTACTGCATGCCGATGGTGCTTTAGCACACTGCTGAAACTTGTGTTTGTGTGAGAAATGTCAGTATTGAGGAGATATTCCTCTTCGGCAACTGCTGCATGTCATTATTAATTTTCAGTGTTGACTTGTTTTAATATTTGATTTCTTTATTAATCATTCATACGGCTATGGTGCATGAGCACTGCATGATTGTAATTACACATGCTGGGACGTGCACATTTCACTGCATCTCTGATATGTTATATGGTCAAAATAAAGGATTGCATCATAAATATGGACGCACAACTTGTCCCTGCATCATTTGCCGAATGCATTCTCTGCATACCGTAGTGCCCAAAAGCAATGACGTATGGCCCCGAGGGCAATTATTTACCTATGCGTACACGTGAGTACAAACATTTGTTTCACTGTGCACAATACAGCCACTACCCATAACCACAATGCAATTCACAAAAGATGCAATATGCAAATACAGTAGGTGTATTTCACAAAATACGAATAGACACACTAGCTCACACACACACACACACACACACACACACACTAACACCCAGGAGGAGTGTGGACCTAATGAGGCCCGTGGAGACACTGCTGAATTGTCAGTCAAACCTCAGCTTGCTGACGTGCAGTCGACAACATCAATGACTTCTTTTCTCAGACGGGGGAAGCCTGTCCAATCGCATCAGATGTGGAGAGAAGTCTGAGGTCCATTGGACTCGGACTGAGACGACGGGAAGAAATGTTCTAAAAGGGCTTCGGGGAAGCGAGAGCAGCAGCCTACTTATGTGTGATACCAACCTCTAAAACTTTTGATGCTTTGTAGGAGCAAACATTTACTTTGTCAACATTATCATTTGTGTGCAGGTTAGTTACAACTTAAGGTTAGTTGCAAAGTTTCAAAAAGTTGCCACCTCTCCTTCCAAGACGCTTGTGAAAAAAACAGGTCTCCAATCCTGTCCCTCAAAGAACCAACGAGTATGAGTTAGAGGGAGAGAAAAAAAGAGAGGCTTGTCCTGTCACAAGAGTTCTGTATGTTTAGAGGCGTGTTGCTTCACAGCCAGTACAGTTGTGCCATAATGAGCCAATACTCATCCCAGGTGTTTTTGAGCTTTGTCTTTCCCAGCGTAGTGTTTTAGGACAAGCCGCCGTGCAATTTGCACGGCAGCGTGTAATTATGACTTTCTCACTAAATCCGGGTCTGTTATTTTCACACAGACGGAGGCAGTGTGGTCTCTCGCCCTGAACAATGCTGGAGATATCAGCTGCTGCAGGATGGACTGCAGCTCAAGTTTATTTAAACAACGGAAACACACAAGTTGGGTTCCAACCGCACAGGAAACATTCACTTTTCTATATCTATTCCATTACAGTACTATTAATAATAAATAAATAATAAAATAATATTAATAATACATTGTTTTTTATTATTCTTATTATTTTTTATGCTTATTTTTTTAAATTTAAAATAAATGAATAAATAAAATAAAAATATATAATATTGAATAGGAAGGATTTTCCATTTTACTGTATTGCTCCATGCACAGAGCTCCCTCACACCGCTGCGTGGTGCGCTGGCCGGGTGGAGGGGAAGGACACATGGCGGTGAATGAAGTGTCGGTTTTCACCTCTGACTCCTCCCCTACGGACGAGCTGCGCTTTTCTTCCACTTGAACAACCAAGTAGTTTTTCAGGGCGCATTCCCCGGCAGCAATGTGGAGGGAAAGGGCGACGGCGTCCAGTTGAACGTTTTTATACACGTTTGTGATCCAGCTCTGTAGCTGCGGGTTTTTTTTTGGAAGCGCTTTTAATTCGTTTTAAAACACCGATCGCTGGTTCTTCACAAGGAAAAAAAAAGAGTAAGCGAGCGAGAAGTGAGGAAAAAACTGCAGCCTGAACGTCTCGTGTGTGTGTTTTTTTTTTTTAGAAGAAGAAGAAGAAGAAAAGAAAAAACGCGAACCATTGTTTCCTCACACATGGATACTAGGAGATGAAAGCGGACGTGGATCCGGCTGTTGAGTAAAAATCCTCTCGCTCGACTGGACTGTAGTTTGTGTGGTTTCCGGGGCTCTTGTAGCAGGAGGAGACGCTCCGCGCAACAAGGACGCGCGCACAGGGGGCCACAAGTTGTCCGCGCGCGCTGCGACGGAGACCAAAACTTTGCCAAGTTTTCTCCGCGCATCCGGTCGCCGACGACAAACATCCATCAATATTTCGTAGCTGCGTCGTAACTTTAACTGTGGATTATTACCGCGAGGCTCGTCATGGACCGCAGGAGCACGTTCAGAGGATGATAAGGGTTTCTTCAGACATGAACTATTTCTTGTAGTTGGTTTCTTGCTGCAGCGACGCGTTTGGACTGCACTGATCTTTAAAAAAAAAGTTAGTTTGTTTATTGCCAGCTGTTTTTTTTCCTTTTCTTTCTACCACCTCGAAAATTATCTATTCTGCAAAGATGCCACAGTTGAACGGAGGCGGTGGGGATGATTTGGGGGCCAACGATGAAATGATATCTTTCAAAGACGAAGGCGAGCAGGAGGAGAAGATATCGGAGAACGTGTCAGCGGACAGGGATTTGGATGATGTGAAGTCCTCCTTAGTGAACGAGTCCGAAAACAACAGCAGCTCGTCCGACTCGGAGGTAAGGACAGCCACGATGTGCAGACCGACTCAAAACACCATTTAATGCCGTTTCAAAGTGTTCATTAGTTTCTCCCCCCTCCGTGTGTGTGTGTGTGTGTGTGTGTGCGTGCGCGCTTTTCTCCCCCTTGTCAGCAAGCGGAGAGGCGCCCCCAAACCAGACCCGACTCAGAAAGTTACGAGAAAGCGAGAGACTACTTCAACGAAGGTAACGCATTCAACACGGTTCGGCCGTCGTGTCGTCGTCCCCCCCCCCCTCGCTCCGTGTCTCCGTGCCCAACCCCCCGGGCTTTTTTTCTCTCCCTCCCGCAGCCCTGAGGAGACAGCAAGATGGTGGCTTCTTTAAGAGTCCCCACTACCCCGGATCCCTGTTCTTCATGTTCCAAGACCTTTACAACCCTTCCTTTTCCAACGTGTGGTTGTCTCCGGGGGAGAGGTCGGTGGGTTTCGAGACAGATGTTTTTGTTTTTGGTTTTTTTTCCCCCTCCCCCCCCCCACACAAAAAACCCCCCCCCCTCTTTTTTTTTTGGTGTAGATGGGGTTCTCAAAAAAAAATTTTTGCCGGTGGGTAAAAATTCCTGTGTGCCTTCCCCAGCCCGCCATTTTCCTCCGAGGGGGCCTCTAAGGGAGTAATAACTCTTTCTTTTTTCCTTTTTTTGGGGGGGGGGGGGGGGGGGGGGGGTACATTTCTCCGTGCCAACCCCTCCTCGAAAGGAGTCGCGTTTGACTATATTTCATTCGGATCAAAGTTCACACCGATCACTTTTGGCTTTTTGAATGGTTTGTGGTCTCTGAATGTCGGAAATGCTGCAACACCCCTGCTGCACATTAGCTATGTATACATGTATAGTAGTAAACTTAAATCGGTGCCTTAACTTCCTCTAAAATGTGTTTTATAATTACAGCGCATTTTTAGGTTTGTCTTTCCTTTTGTGGTTGTGTTGACCTCTGACTTCAGGGAAAACTAAAGACAAGGAACATTCGTGCCTTTGACCCGCTTTGCAAAAAAAATTCTGCAGAAAATTGTGTAAAAAGGTGTTCCTGTGGTCATATCCCCCGTGACAACAATGTAATACCTCACTTTGACACACATGGGGAGGCATTTCACTGCAATGTTCATGACAGCTGTCCAGAGAAACAAAAAGTCTAGATTTGTTGCTGACAGTTGTTGATGAGGAGTTCACATTCACCTCATTTGTCCAGGAAACTTTGTACTGCAGTTATTGTTGCATTGGTTTTATCCAGTATACACAATAGAACATGCCTTAACAGCATGTTAATAAGGCATAGAGACTGTATAATAATTACATTCTAGTTAGCGATGCTGCAAACATGACTAATTAATCCACATAAGAAAGGCAATGATTATAAAAAACCCCCCACTAAAGTCAAAGAATTTGTGATCAGTAATGAACACAACAATTTTAAACCAGCATTGCAATTTTTTAATCCATTTAAACGGCCGAATTTGGAAGAGTAACCTGTGAAACTATGCAAACTTTCTTGAAATAATCCCTGTTGGATAGCTGTGTTCGTCTGAGTTTGTCCCCCCGCCCGCCCCCAACCATGTCACACCCCCCCAAAAAACAAGTACTTTCGTTAAAGCCTGGCAGGCATCGGACTGAAAAGAACCCCCCACCCCCTTCCCTTTCTGTCTCCTTTTCACTGTTCCAGGCCCACTCCCTCCCTCTACCTTCCATTCAATTAGAAAGGCGTTAGTTGACCATTGTTATTCTGAGCAGTCTTGATGGCTTCATTGGAGGTCTCCATTGGGGCTCATTAACTAAAAGGCCGCTCTGCTCAGACAAGGTGATACATACCAGCGTGCAGATCGTCTATCTTGTTGCTTTTGGCCACCGGAGTCTCGTAGGAATCGTAGTAAGAGCTAAACATGCAGGAATGCTCCACAGTGTTTTGTTCTTTTTGTTAAGCACGGTTAGCATGAAACTTTGTTGGAGCTATTTGGTGAATTCAAGGAAGAATTTAAGTCTTAAGTCATTTTAGCGGCTTATTATGTAGCCTCTGCTTTGTCGTGTCTTGTTCCTCTGGTATGAAAGCCTCTCAATCCGCCTGTTTATGTCCAGCGAAGCAAAGTCGGAAAAAAACAAAAATAAAAGACGGTTTCCTTGTTACTTAAGACAAAGTGGCAAATAATTGTAGAGGATTTGAAATTCAGAGGTATAATCCCTCATATTAGAAAAAGAAAAGAATGAGGTCAATGGGGCAGAGTGAGCTGACGGTGTCAATCATCAGCGTGGCAGAAAACATGCAGGCGGACAATAGCTGGCATACTTAGCAGGCGTCTCGAGGTCCTCCGCGTTACTCATGGCTTAGTGGGAACGCACTGAATTTGATTGATGGGAGGTTCGGTTTAGCGCCATTTTAGACCTGCATTCCCAGCGTTTGGTGTGTTTACACGTTAACTCTGATATAGTTTAAGCATTTCTTATGCATCAACCTTCTGAGGAAAATGCTGATTGGCTGGCGGGATTAAAATGTGCCTGTAGGATAACCGAATATGTGTTGTAACCTCTCAAACGGCAACGCCCCTCTTTTATAGCGGGTGTCTCAAAAGTCCAATTGGCACTGACAGATTTATTATTTAGGTGTCATGTGGCTTGTGGCCCCTTTACTTCAGCTGGGTGTGACGCGTTTAAGTTATGGCTCTCTGGCAGATCATGTGACTAACACCAGGCCGCTTTTATTTCCGCGTTCCATTTATTTTCTTTTTTTTATAGCTGTGAGCGTCATGTATTTTGGTAATTAAGGATAGAACAACGCGTGTGAGGCATTCTGTTTACGTCTCCTCAGACCCGGCCATCATCTTTTTTTTTCTTCCCGCCCCCTTCTTGCTTCTTTCTCATAACGAAGCCATCTCAAGTAACGGATATATTCTGCACATATCAGCATTTTAAAAGAGCACACTGCTCAACAATATACACGAGATGTTGCTCAAGAGTCTCCCTGCAGTGATTCACCCTCTAATGTGCAACGCGATGACGGATTTGGGGCCCAAACTTTTTAAATTTGGATGTGGCAACCCTATCGTGAGCAATGAGAGACAGGCCTACATGGGATCAGCACAGAGTTCCCCTGGGGGCCAAGCATAACTGATTTAAAGCCTGCTCGGAGCTGACATTCTGCTGTAATCCACTGAGAGCCGAGGAGGAGGTTTTTATGTTTGCAGAGATGTTACACCAAACCACCCCCCCCCCCCCCCATCCCCCGAAGGGCCGACGAAACCCGTTCATTTGTTGTCAATTCCTTGATGTGATTATTGCTGCATTTGTCCCGTGGGGACAGACTAGTTGCCACATCTAATTGGCGAGCAAACACGGCGCTCGACGCCACCTATTGTCAGCTTCATCAGCAGTTTAAGATAACTCAGATAGCACATCGTCATCATCACCGTCACTGCGGAGTGAAATGCCTCTTGTGTGTGAGAGGTGGCACGTAAGCGAGAGCGAGGTTAGCCGCTCAAATATATCTTCATCAAATACGCAGTGGGACTCTCCAGCTCCGGGGCACGATTGTTGAAAAGAAAAATAGTTTGAGATATGAAGTGGGAGCCTGTATGAGTCTGAACATGTCTGCGGCCACGATTGCACGCCTCTCTGACTTCTTTCTTTCCATTTCTTTCTCCCGATTTCGGTGCTTGAATATGTTCGCACAAAGAAAAAGTCAACACAGACATTGTCCCTGTGGATAAAGGGGCCTCTCCCTGCATAAGCAAACGCTGTTTGTGCCGAGGTGTCTTTTCATCAGGTGGCTCGCTTGGCGTTGGGCTCACCTTGCACGTGTGTGTGTGTGTGTGCACGCATGCATCCATGTGGCGGCCTTGTGTGTGTAAAGTCTGAGTGGTGGGGGGAGGGGGAGGGAGGGGGCGGGTTGTTCAGGTGAGGCTGTGTGGATATTTTGCAACAGAGGGAACAGTGTGCAACGGGCTCACGTCGGACAACCCTCAGTGTTATATTCCTGGATGTTAGTGCACAAATATTTTTTCAACCAAGCGCTGTGTCAACAGACTGAACATTTATGACTAGGTTTTTTTAAAGTTTAAAAAAAATGTTTTTTCCTTTAAAGGCAAACACATCTGCATAAATCCAGTGGCCCTGTACAATTAAAAACAGGTCACAAAGAAAAGCCCCCGCAGCTTTGTGTAACTTCTCTAATGAACTCGGTGCTACGTCTTGAGAAAATTAAACGAGACATTTTGAAATATTCATTTAGTTTGAGGTGTTTGGACTGATGTCGCTGGTACATTTCAAATGAGAGGCATTTGAATGGAAAATTGTTGCATATTTTTAACAATTGCGTGTTTTAGTCACTTTGATCACTAATCACTTTGAATAAAATAAATTGAAACCTGTGCAAGATCAGAATATTGCTTTAGTGGATCCACAAATAACCTACAGGAGCATCTTATTTTTTAAACGGAGGCTGCTCACATTGACTTCCTAACATCCCATGTATAGATCTGCGTGAAATGGTGTCAGTCCTGGTTCTGCATCCTTCCCTCTCTGGTCTCTGTGGAAAGCATGAGCTGGCGTCAATTCCTCCCACTACCCCTTCCTCTGCTGGTTCACTACCTAAACCCGCCCGCCCGACATTAGAAATTCTGTTTATAGAGCTCTCTGGCTTCTCGATCGCGGGGCCCATCAGGAGCCTCTCAGCACCCTTTGAGAAAAGGATAAGCAACATCTCCCCTCTCCAGCCCCAGACGCCCCATGTTCAGTGACATCAATGAATCCTTTTGATGTGCCAACATGAATATGTGTGCAAATGTGTTTTTATCAATTCATGTGTTTTTCCCGTTCACCACGTCAGGCCACAGCTACAGTGCGGCTTGGTTACATTGCTTTCCCCTGTGTGGATTTAAGCAAACTCGTATTGAGAGTACTCAATATCCAAAAGGTGAACATAGACTCCACCTGAATTAAATCCAAAAGCGGTGCTTTTTCCTTTTGGCTTTAAAAACCAGGAGATTGGGGGAGTTGGTGTGGAAGCAATGGAAATACAAAGCGTGCTATCGCCGCTCCTTCACAGCTGCTCACTATCAAAAAAAGTACAACTTTTTTTTGCCACAAATTGAAGCTCTGGGAGATGTGGGAGTGTCACACGAATACCAGCGTGGTCGTGTCTGTTCCGAGGTCTTAACATGGCGTTCGCAGGGGGGGGGCCTCTGGATTTTTCTGGAGAGGAGTCAGACTCTCCTCAGGTGACCACAGCCCTGAAACTATTTGTGGTAAAAACCATCCCCCCCGACCATAGAATCATTTTCTCACTGACTCATCCAGTATAATCCTGTTTATCCAAATGTGGGCCTGTTGTAGCCTTTCCCGTTTTTTATGTCTGGTCAGCATATCATGCGGTTTTAATATATTATGATGTTTTGGTCTGTTAGTCGGACTATCGGGCTATTTGGAGACATTATGGCAACATCCAGTGATCATATTGTTCTATTGACTAATTCTTTAATAATTTTGGCTGTAAAATAGCTGTAAGATATATCGACTATAGCGATGCATTCACATGGCTTGTTTTGTCTTACCAAAAGTCAGTCATGGCCTATATAGTGTAAAAAACAACAACAGCGTAACATAATTGTTAATCGAAAAGTTACTA